AATAAAAGGTATTGATTTCTTTAAAAATAAATTAGTGGCTCCAATTTATAGTTAGTTCTCACATGTGGTAACAGTAATTGAATTATTGCTTTAATTTTGGGCTGCTCAGCCAATTGAAATGGAAGTGAACTTGCTAGCATTGCTGTACACTTACTGATTTTGACATGGTGTGGGGAAAAAATAAGGATATTTACCAATTTTGTGTTTAACTATTTCAACTTATGGCAGTCCGAAGAGAGACACTAAAATTTATTTTTCATTGTTGCTTCTGATTTAAGAGGAAAACTGGAAATATGGAGTGACAACACTGGAAAATGAAGTTGAGAACATTGCACTGGGATACAGTATTTCTTGTGCTCTGGCTGATTACTGCACATTTCAGTAAGTTTAGTAGGTCATCTGGGCATTCCATACTTGCAGAACATGTTCATGGTACGGTATCCATAATGCATACTGCAGCAAATGAGTAGACTGCCTCTCCGAACACTAGAGAGACAGATACAAAAAGGGACTGAAAGTAAGAATGTATAATGAATGAAGGAGTGCGTTACCATTCTTTCTGAGAATTTGAATTTAAGACACAGTGTTCTCATTCAATACTGCCACGCATTTTCCTGCACAAACACTTTAGATACTGTTCATGTGGTGTCGAATATAGCTTTAAGGGAATGAAAACATCCTGCAAAGATTTTTATCTGAAAGTGCACCATATATAAAGTTATTGCCTTTCAAAAGTGAGAGTCGACTCTGAGTCTATGAAATGAATTGTTTTTGAAACGAGTCATTAGCTGTTTTGTAGTGACGTAGATACGAAATATAAGCATATTGGCCGCGCCCAGATGAAAGTGTAAACTTGAAGTCTAGAACACATTCAAATACTTCAGCTGAATAGCATCATGTCTAGAAGACGCTGTGTTCTACAATGCAAAGATAGTTCAGCCACTTGAGCATGTGAAGGTTAGAGTTCATATTTGCAACGATACCACAACAGTATAGCCCAATTGTGTTCTCATCATTTTAATGACGAATCATTCAAAACATAAATGAATTCAAATGTGGATCCGCAAGCCGGTTGTTCCTGAAGGAGGGCTCAGTACCCCCACAGTGTATATGGATCAGCTTCCTCCTCCGAATCACAACCTGTAAGTATTATTAATAATTGTTGCTTTTATGGGTTTTGTAGCGTCGGTGCGCGAGGAGGGAAGGCGCAATAAGTATGTGTGTGTGTGCGTAAGTTACGCTCAGCGCAGCTCCTTGGTCTCTAATGTCATTTTTTTTTAATATGTGAAATGTTTGTCACTGTTATTGGAGTTGTCATAAAGAATAGAGCGTCTTGTAATACTGCAGTGCTTTATCAATACAGTATTTTTATGCGTTCGGCTAACAAACAATAACTGACTGGGTCATCTGACCAATCACCGCCGATTAGCATCACGCAAAGGAGTGGTTTGGAAAAATGAGTCGTTGAGCGAATCATTCGGGAGTCGGTGAGCAAATCAGGTAAAAAGAAATGCATATTATAAGACAACAAAAGTGTTTTTTTTGTCATTGCATTCATGTAAAACTGTTGTTGGGGACCAGAACAATATTAGGAACATTTTAAATAATGGGTGCTCTTTAACCGATTTGTAACTCAAGTGAAAATTATGTGTGCGTATTTCAGCCTGGACTTTAGCAAAGATGGAAAATAGTTGCTTTTGTTCTCTGTTTGTGTGTATGGTCAAAGACAAAGCCTATCTTCACATAACAGCAATGTGTTGACAGGTCTATTTCACTGACTGCCCCCTCCACCAACGAAAAACCACCCCCATCGTGCGATGTAGCCTGAGCAAGCAGGTATTGTTTTCATCCCTGACTAAGTACAGATCCTCTTACCCTGCTCGCTATCAGCTACACACAGGAGGGCAATGTGAGCTCATAGCGGCCTGCTTACTGACCTGGGACCAGCTTCACGACTCTTTGTCAATGGGTCTCATGCTGCGGCTGATCGCTGCTCCACAGGTGAATAGCTCACCTTCTCCTCCTCCACCTCCTCCCTTTTCTCTGTCTCTCTTGGTTGGTCACTGGAGTCAGTTAGCCGATGGAGTCGAGTTATGCCTGAACTTTGTGCTCCTGAAGTACAACCTTTTGCAACAGAAAGAAACAGTCTGGATTATTTTGTTTAAATTCTGCTCGTAATCAAGGTAAAGTGTGATGCAACATTCAATTCTTGTTTCATTCAATTGATGGATTTTTAAGAGTTGTCAGATGTGTGCAGTTCTGTTTTCTCAAAGTTTTTTATTGTTATTGAGTGTTCTTTGAAACACTCAGTTTGAGGACTTTTTCCATCAAAGATCAAATGTGGGGATGATTGTTGTATAGGATTTCTGACTTTACATAGACAATGCTATGATTTTAGAAAATACCATAATATGGTGTTTTATAGTGCTTACATTGTATAGAAAGACATTTAAGAAACTAAATCAGCCTTAAAGGTTATTCAGTGGCTCTTGGGTTTAGCCTTCCAGAGAATTCTGTTTTTTTTTTTTTTTTTGCTTTATCAAGGCAGCTTTTTGTTTATTTGAATATCAAAGAAGTTGTTGGTTACATTTAAGGGCATTTGGATCAGCATCAGTATTTGTCATGGTTTTGTTTTAAAAATGAAAAAAAAAAAAAAAAAACGTAATTATTGAATGATTTAGTAAAAAAATAAATGAATTATTAAAAACTGTTTAGAAATAAAAAATAAATATAATTATAAATTCTAGATTGTAACCTGAAGAAAATTAATCTGCATAAGAGTTGCAGCTCAACGTGCCGAAAACAACAACATCTGATAGCAAACATACTAGACAATCTACTAAGTGTACTTCTAAGGATGAACTGAAATGTCTACTACTAGCTGGTTGCAAAGGCATTGATTTACTGTTAAAAGTTATCCATAGATTATTTATTTTTTTATTCAGAATAAAATAATACAAATTTTTCTAGGCAAAATTATTTTACAATACTGGGGCATTTGCTTTGTGAGATCTCAAGTATTCAGAGTAATTTTTAGCACACAAAAAACGTGGTCTTTATTAATATATTCTGGTCTTTAAATATTGCTCAGGTCGCTCCTTAAATGTCAGTCTATTGGATTTCCCCCCTCGTTTTTAATGTCCGCCATGCTTAAATTCTAAATTATATTGTCTAGAAAACGAATGGGACAACAAGTTACATAATTAGATTTATTGTTCATGTCCTTATAGCGCAAACATTACAGGAGACAAGTTGTATGCCAGAGTTTAATATTGATGTTAAAGATCAAGTATGAGCAATAATAATTGTGATGGTTGTCTTAGCAGATAAATGCAATATATGTATAGCGGTAGTGTGTGTGTGTGTGTGTGTGCTCAGGCTCAGAGCTCGTGCCTTGCGGCTGTGCCTCAGATTCTCCATCTGTTTCAATTAAAGTGAGTGCAGGACTCACTGCACTGCCGGGTTTAAATGTCACAGTGAGAAAGCTCTCACCCTGCCCACAAATAACACCACTACAAAACAGAAGACCTTAGCACAATGGAGCGCACACACTCCTAAGTATCTCCCCAATAAACGAATTGAGCAGGTGAAATATTGCACCGATCCTTGAGACATGGGACATAACAAACCCATACCTGCTGTGAGTTTATAAAATAGCAACAATTCCACTTTGATATTTATCAAAGATGATCATAAATGTTCTTCGCAAATGCACCATTTTATTTGTGCGACACGATATGGTTTCATTCAACACAGTTGACTACATTTGTTAACAATGCTTCATTTATCAATCTTATAATTTCAACATCTGATTTTATGAATGGGTGAGTAAAGTTAGCATTAATGTACTGTGAGCTAACATTAACCAACATAAACAATTATTTTTTTATGAACAAAGATTTTATTTTAATATTATATTATTATTTTGATGAGTTTATGTTTGCTAATGCTTAAACTAATGTTAAAGTAATAGTTCACTTAAAAATGAAAATTCTGTCATCATTTACTCACCCTCAAGTTGTTTCAAACCTGCATGAATTCATTCTTCTGCTGAACACAAAGGAAGATGTTTGGAGTACATCAACTGTTTGGTTAGTATTCAGTAAATGTGAGTAAATAATGACAGAATTTTCATTTTTAAGTGAACAACTTCTTTAATACTGTAAGTGAGACCTTATTGTAAAGTGTTCACCGTTGATTTTCTCTTTACTCTATCAAAATGTATATTATACGAATATTACGTTTATTATGGAAGAAACAATAGGCTACTTCTGGGAGAATATATAAGACTAATAAAAAATATATACTCTTTTTGGAAATTTTCAAATGTCTTTATCAACACCATCAGATTCATGGAATTATTTATTAAATCAGGAGATAATAATATTAGCCTTCACCCTAAAGGTCTTATTTTCATATTTATCTTGCTATAATGTCACACGCTGAGTTTTAGCTATTTAGTTAGTTAATTGGTTTGTTTGTGTGATGTTAACTTGACACAACTTGCTTAATATTTGTAGAAATCCCCCGAGGAAATTTGTGTTCGCTCTCAAAGAACACAAAAGTTTTGTGAGCGAATGCAAAGTTTCTCGGGGGAACTACATTTGAAATGCTCATATTTTTCATCATGTCCCTTTAGGGGCTCCACAAACGCACACTGATTGACAAGCAAGGGAAAATACACAATTTTGTGAGAAAAAAGAAGCAGCGGGACCAAACATGTTGAACGGATTAATAGAAAATAAATCCTTAATTCTCGAGCCTTTATTTTTTTCACGTTTTTTTAGAATCCGTGATTGGCTTTTATTTATAGTTTTCTGGCTTGTGAGGGTCTGAATGATCCAGATCTATTCTTTTCCGTCCTACATTCTGTTGTTGACTCAAACTGTTCTTGTCACTCACTGACAGAGTAAACCCAAGGACTGTTTGCTGTTTGTTAATAAGTAAATGAAGCACATTGGGTAGAAAGTTTCCCATGGAAATGTATGGTTAGCCTTCTTTGTCTCTCATGTGCACAGTCTCTCTGTCTCGCTGAAATACATTAGATACATGCTTTGATCTTCAATGTCAAACGGTGCGTACACATGTTGTAAAACGCACTCCCACTCTGGACGTGTAACTGTTATCCATGGTAAGTGTTTACTCTTTTTGTAAAAAGGCAGTAGAGAGAGTGATGCATGCGATAAAGTAGATGTCTTTCTTGATGAAAGGCCTCACTTGTTCCATTATACAGATGATATTTATATATAAAACAAGACAACGGTTACACAATTCTGAAATTGATTTCGGTCCCCTTAATTGTGTAGAAGCAGATTCAGGAGAAAAGTTGCAAGCTGGATTCGAACTCCATAACAAGGGCAAACTGTAACATACATATACTGTAGTACCGGTTATTGAATTTTGATTGGTTGTTGCTTACTTAGGTTTTGATGTTTTGTCCGTATTTGGTGTTATCTGATCCCTTATACAATTAATAGCACCCTCAACAAGCCACATGATTTGAGGTATTCTTATGCAGAAACAATGTGGGATGATTTGAGGTTTAAAATAGGATTAGGGCTTTATTCAAATCCCTAACACTCTGTATGAGCAATAATATTAGTAATGAGGAAGCATCATCCATGATAATGAGTAAGCAAGCTGCACTAATTATTTTGGTGTTAATCATGGTGTCATAATGTCAGTCTTTTCACTGCCTGCCTCAGGTTTGCTTTTATTTGCAGTGAAGTGCAATGAAGTCTCTGCAGCCATGGGTCATCTTTATGAGGCGCATCTCACTAATCGTATTTAAGGCTTATTACCTCTCTCACTTTCTCTTTTTCCAACACACACACAAACACAGACACACTCCCAGCCTGTGGTGCTGGCTTCATTAGTACTATCTGTCAGCATTAATGTAGAAGAGGTAAATAATTGGACACAGCGCGTTTGCCGTAGATGACTTCTGCCACAGTTTTGGCTCCTTGATTAGCAGGCTAATTGTATTTTGCGGCTTTTGATGGCAATCATAGCCATTTCCAGACACTTATGAAACATCTGTCAGAATGAGAGTTAATGCAGCTTCTGCAATCATCTCGCCCGTAAATGCCACCCTTACCTAAACGTGTCTGGAACGATCAGGTGTTTACTTGCTTTTATAATTAGAGGTTAAGATGCATTTAAATGCATTTCTCATGATAAATGTCTGTGAATCAAGTACGGAAAACCGTGTAAATTGTTAATTTGTCATCATCTGTTACCTAACATGTTGCTTTCAGTGGAACCTTGTTTAACGGTGATATGCTAAATGGTCGAATGTGAGTCTCGGACTTAATAGCTCATTGTTTTCCTTGTCTGAGAGTTTTGGTTGAAATTTAAGCTTTGCTTTGGGCAAAGGAATGTGGGAAGAGCTTTGGCTATCTCTCCCATCAGCCCCTTTTCTGTTTTTTTGTTTTATGTGTCCTGGGAATCTCAACACATTTGGCTGCAAGCCCAAAACAAGACAATTCAAAGGAAAATGTGACCCTACAGTTTATCTGTGACTTTAAAGTGAGTTTTTCAAAATGAGGTCTGCAGAAAATTAAAGTGAAAAAAAGTCAACTAAAATGTTTAAGAAAAAGAATACGTCTAAGTAAAAATGTTTAAATGTTTATATTTAACACTATCATTTTTTTTTCAAACAATGTTTTATTACTTCAAATTTGGTAATATATTTTCATTTTCTATTCTGCTTTCTAAAGAATAGTCTAAAAACAAAATTAATTTGATTTTGAATTAATTCTGATCATTTACATTTACATACATTTATTCATTTAGCTGACGCTTTTATGTCAGAGGTCGCACGCCTCTGGAGCAATTAGGGGTTAAGTGTCTTGCTCAGGGACACATTGGTGTCTTGCAGTGGATTCAAACCCGGGTCTCTCACACCAAAGGCACTTCGCCATCACCACCCCATGATCATTTTATTGTATTTATATGATATATTTTTCCATCAATGAAACTACATTCATTTTTTTCTGCATAAATATCGTAATATGGGCCTAGTTTTATTAGCTGAAACATTGTTTTATCTTTCAATTTTATTGCTTATTCAAATGTTGTTTGATGTTGAGTTAGTGTGCCATTTTTCTAACATTAATTGTGGGTAGAAAAAGATACACTAAACTTAATACAAATTAGGTTATATATACTATTTTAATAATTTATTTTGCTTAAATTCAGAGTCAACACAAAAGCTAATTTAATTTTGCAAACAATTTTTTTCACACTATTTTCTCAATAAAAATTGGTCTCTATGCATAAAATGACATATTTGCTTTTGGGCGTGCTAAATAATTGGGGGGTCCTTTGCATGAAAATGTTTTAAAGCCTCAGATTTACATGTTGGTCACTTAGGATCATATACTGTACTGTGATTTGTTTTGGAAATAGTTGAGGTTGTACCTATAGATTGTTGGGGCGAGGTGTGCTAGTTTTCCAAGCAATCAGACTTATTGATTTTTATTTTTTATTTTTTACCTGGCAGTCCAAAAAAATCTCACAGAACACAGTAAATTGTTAGGCTGAAATAACTAGAATCCCCCCCCCCCCCCCCCCCCCCCTTTTATGGAAATTGATGCACAATAGCTTGAATCCAGCATGACCACCAGTTGTCATTGTCATTGACTAATGTGTTTGTATGGAGCAAGACTCTTTTCATCTACAGATCACAGTTCAACCACTGTTCTGCTTCAACACTGAACCGTGAAGAACGGCACAACACCAAAAAACATCTGTGTTCTGTTTGTTAGTAAGCTATTTCATGCTTTCAGCTCTCTCTGCTGTGGGGAGGTATGTGTATTTGCTGTCAGCAAAACAATTGGTGAATGCACAGGGACTTTTTTTTCTTTGATGATGGTTGTAGACAGTTGTAAAACAATCCACTGATATTATTGGCATAGCTCCTCGTGGAGCTCTATAGCAGCACGTGGATGATTGTCCGGGTGATTGCTCTGTGCTGGGTGGATGTCTCTCAGCTGTAATTGTTGCACATTGACTTCAACACAAACATGATTGTAATGAATGTGTTTAATTTTTAGAGCAGAGGAGAGCCGCAGGGGCTGAATTGAATCAGATATGCATACAGTTGCACACACGTACACGCTTTCGTAAACCTGGCATTTAAAGGTCCCCTGACATGGGGTTATTTTATTATTTTATAATGTTTCCATGAGTTGCCCTTATTGTGTTAGTATGTTTTTTTAGATTAAAAATAGTCATAATTTCGTAATAAAAAGGCATTTTTCCTAGCCTGATTTTAGCCTCTGATTTGAACGCTCTGTTTGAAGGGGCGTGTCTGCTGTGAGATTCAGTGTAACCGCCCACTGCTGTGATTGGCTGACATGCTTGCATCTCAGCTTGAATACTTTCACTCTCTTGAATACTTTTACTACAGCTATTATACGTTTTTACTAGAGCCCGACCGATAAAGGATTTTGAAGGCCAATATGATACAAAAAATTTTTGGTTTTAAAATCCGATATTCCGATATATCGGCCAATATTTTTTAATATATTTTTTTATTTCAGAAACGCACAACAAAGCATTAACAGATTTCGCTAATATTAGTTATTTGTAGTTATTAATGAGTTTTATCTAAAATAATATGATAATGCAATTTAAAAAGAAACTTGTTTTGTCACAACAGAACAGACTGATGATAGTGGCATTAGCTATCTTTGTGGTTAGCTAGTCTATGATGAGTCTATGATAATTCCGCTTCACTCTCGGCTTATTTAACAGCAGCAAAACTTGACATGATAGTCATTATAGTCATGATAGTCAAGCAGTAAATTTTGTCATGCTTATTTGAGTTCAGAGAACAAATGGGGATGTTCTTTTAATTGTTATTCAAGCAATGTATGTCTCGTGACCAACTCAACGAGTGTTGCCAACAGGAACGGTGTAGAGTGCCCTCTGGTGGACAAACTATACATCTCCAACACTCATGACATGTTTGAAGCGTGTTTCGTCCGTTTTTATTTTTTTTTTCATAATATTCATTTATCGGCCATTATAACTGCCGATACCGATAGTTTGGAAAATGCCCAATATCGGCCGATAATATCAGCCTGCCGATATATCGGTCTGGCTCTAGTTTTTACTATTACAGCTATTGAGATTACCGAATCGTGAGAAGTTTTTGAAGTATTTATTATCATTTTTATTATTATTTCTTAATTTTTAAGTCCTCAATTGTGTACAAATAACTCTCCCAATGATCTCACTTATCCTCGTAAACGAAGAATTAATTATCTTTATATATATGGGATGGGTAGGTCCACGGAGACTTCCATGTCGTTCTGCCATCTTGAATATTATAGCAGAGAGGGACAAAAAGTACTAGGCCAACTTGTTTTTGTTCAGAGCCAGCGTCACGTGACTAAAAGCAGTTGAACCGGACAAAAAAGTTTGAGAGACGCTTGTCACTGCCGTTTGTTGCAGTTTGTTTGAAATAACAAACCTGTTCTCCCGAAGGAACACTTGACGAAGTGCTATTTAGAAGCCTGTCATAGCTTTTTGGTTTGTAACGGCTACGTAGAAGCAACACGCATTTGAAAAAGTGAAGCGCTGTAGTGCACTATTCGTTTGAATGCAAAATACAATTTCAGGCCCCGTTTACACGAAGGGAAAACGCAGATATTTCCCTGCGGTTTGGCCTCTCGTTTACAAGAAACCCAGTTTTTATCACAGAAAACGATTATTTCTAAAAACTCTGCTGGCCAAAGTGGAGATTTCTGAAAATGCCGGTTATGTGATGTCGTGTGAACTGGGAGAAACGGCGTTTTAGGTTCTCTCTAGTAGATTCTGAGGATTCTGATTGGCTTGCATGGCTTTATCCTTCTCCCTACACTGCCACCCATAGGTTTGGCATAGTTATGATGGCACTCGACGGCGTATTTATGCGGGTGTGTGAACGATATTATTTTTGAAAATGGAGAGGGAGAAAATATTCGTTTCGTTAAATACCCGGCTTTGTGTAAACGTGGCCTCAGTGCTAGATGGGTTAAATTCATACACATTGCCCCTCTAAGGGGTTATTTAGGGCTTTTAGAAATAAAAATAAATAAATGAAATATTATCAAAGTAAAATATAATATTGTGTATTACACT